TCAGTTGGAGAGAGAGACAAATCATAGACACATATTGGGGAGTAGACGACCCGTCTATCATCTATGAGCAATTGTCAAAACAACATTTAAAATTTCACAATCTGTTTGTGGTACAGTTATCTTTTCATCGTTTCTTCTGCCCAAAGTATATTATAAGGCATATTATAGTCGTCGGAGTCGTGAAATAGATCCGAAAAGTTTATTATCCTGAAGGATATTGGCGGAAATAGCGCGGAGTCGCTAACCGAACTGAGTTTCGCAGGTATATGGGAGTAACTCTTTTTCCTACTTATTTTGCAAGTTGTGGCTATAAAAAATAACCTTTCTGTTGATATTCTGTATCGTAGGTGGACGAACACGAACCTTTGCAAGGCGTTGCAATAAGGCAGTAACTTGTGATAGGAAACAAAATACTTACGGATAGTTTCATATTTCGAACGGTAAACTATCATCTGACCTCATATTTATTCTCCTAGCACTAATTGAACTGCATTATACACAATATAGTGATTATTGTCATCAAATATACCTAATCATTCTTGTCAAGTTAGTGAACATGAAATTGATTTCCTTCAACCCGGTGGGATGGGCCCCAGTCATGTAGTGATTCAAATTTTAAAGTGTAAACATTGACCGTGAATATCCCTCACTCTACCCTACCCGCAAGTGATGCAGATGTGGTAATCTATGTATTTTCCCCATATCTGATCATTTTTTTTTTCAATGTGAACTTCAGGCTTGTACGTTCCCCTCAAGAAATACTGGAGGAATAACAAGGAGACTCTTTCTCTGTACACGGACCAGAAGGGACGCGGGAGTTTATTTGCCAGACGCTCTCCGGTTTATGTAACCCGGCCGTAACAGCGGACAGATCATACACTGCTAAACCTATCCTAATCAAGGTATTTTCATTACTAACCCCGGGTGAGCGTGGAGAAGAACCACAAGGCGAGGTTGGACCCCGACCTACCCATTTCCATATATATACATATATATCTATATAACTGGTTATCTCACTGAGAACTGGAATTAACTAAGTTTGTCACCAATATCGATCAAACGAGCCGTAGAACCTCTGAAATCCACTAAATAGCTTATTAAGTCTAGTCTATGTGGTCCCTTAATGGGCACTCCATTGCAGAGTGGATAAAATATATTAGATATAGTTGAGAACTCATGTAAGTACATGGTAGAGTGTTATGAATGTCTGATATTCATATAATTATAACATTCCATGACAACTTGTTGATTTATATAAACTTTAACTTTAAACTACTGTATTCAGCTTAGATATTTAGTCAGTAAAACATAGTTAAAACGTTTCCTGTCAACTTGTTGGTTTATATAAACTTTAACTTTGAACTACTGTATTCAGCTTAGATATTTATAATTAATAATAATAATAATAATAAATCTTTATTAACGAAAAGACACATTACATAAAACATGTGTACATTAGAAGCTGCTGAAGTATAAAACTGTGTTGCAGCCGCTAACGCCCACCTCCAGAGAAAAATAATAATAATAAGCAAAAATTACACAAAAATAATCATTATTAAAATAAATTTAAATATACCTACTTAAATGTGCAACTCAACAGTAACAAATTTTCAATAGTTTCCTTCCAAAACAAATTATGTCTATGATTCATGGTTTAGTTCTTGATTATGTTCTCAGTCTCATTGTATGTCAAATTTTGAAGCCATTTATTTAATTTAATTTTGCATTCCCTTAAGGTCATCGGATATATATTAAGTTGCTTGTTCACAATATTATACACCGTAGGACTTATGAAATAATATTGACGTCTTGCCAATGCAATCCTACAGGGCACCGTATTACAAACTCTGTCAAATCTACGTAACCTCATGATATTTGCATCGAAGGGAGTAAAACAATGTTTGCGCAGTATTATTTTTAACAAAAACATTTGTCTGACAGTCAGGACATTACATAGAGAGTAGAGGTCAGTAGTAGGAAATCGCAAAGGTTTAAACGTCATTACTTTTAAAACTGCTCTTTGTGCTCTTTCTATGCGAACAAATATCGTCTTATTTGCGCCGCCCCATGCTGCTATACAATAATTTAACATTGATTGTGCAAGTGCATAATAAACCATCTTGAGGGTTGTGAAATCAGCCGATGTTCTTAAATTTCTAAAAATAAAAATAAGCTTCCTTACTCTTGGGATTAAGTAATTTAAATGCGGATTCCACGATAAGGTTGCGTCTAATACAACTCCAAGATACTTTATAGAACAAGTACGTGTAATTTGGACACAATTGCAGTCAGGGTTTTGATGACACCTGTGGGCATAAAGTGTGAAATCAGTTGGAGGAAGTGACACAGTTGAGGGTGAAAAAGTTATGTATTTGGTTTTCTCCAGATTCAGAGTAAGAAGATTATCGGAGAGCCAATCCATAACTTTGCTTAAAGCACTATGCGCAGCATTACGGACGTCCTGCCAATTCACGCCATGAATTAGTAGAACGGTGTCATCGGCATATGTTACAATCTTACAGTTTTTGAGGGTTAGATTGCAAAGATCGTTTATATATATTAAAAATAGGGTGGGACCAAGAACACTACCTTGTGGGACGCCATAACGGATAAAACTATCATTGCTCACGTGGCCGTCAATCTTAGTACACTGCATACGATCACTCAGGTAGCTTTTGAACATATTTAGGACATGACCCCGAATTCCAATAAACTCAAGTTTTCTAAGTAAAATAGGTATGGAAACAGTGTCAAAAGCTTTGGTGAGATCCAAAAATATACCCATATTCTTAATCTTGCTGTTCAAGCATTTAGCCACAGTATCCGTTAACTCCAAAACAGCGTCTTCCGTAGACTTACCAGCTACGAAGCCATATTGATTTTTACTTATAATATGGTTAGCATCTAAATAACTAATAAGACGACGGCGAAGGATCTTCTCAAAGACCTTAGAAATTGCAGTCAAGACAGAAATAGGTCGATAGTTAGACACGTTAGTTCTATCTCCAGCTTTATAAATTGGATGAACAATTGCTTTTTTAAAAACCTTCGGAAACACGCCGGTTGATAAGCAGATATTAAAGACATAAGTAAGGACGGGTGACAAAACCGTCTTACAAGATTTGAGAACGGATGTGGGAATTTTATCCCATCCTACTGCGGAAGTATTTTTTAGGCTTAAGATAGTTCGCTCTACTTCATCGATGTCTGTGCATAATAAGGTCATTGAGTTTAATTTAGGTGATATTTGCACTGATGAATTGAAGCTGCGATGGGGCGCTCTACCCGTGCCAGCTTTTGTAGCTAAATTCTCACCGACGCTGGCAAAGAAATCGTTTATAGAATCAATAGAAGTATGACCAGGCCGAGATAGCAGTTCACTTGAGGAGCACGAGTTTTTATTTAAATTTGATACTTTTTTTATTGTATCCCAAGTAGCCTTTACATTGTTCTTTGCTTTCAGAAACTCACTGCGTTCATATTCAACTTTTAACTTTTTGAGTAAGTTGTTGCAGAAGTTTCTGTAACGCGTATAAATTTTCAGTGTTGTATAGTTGTCCGGTTCTTTTTTTGTATTTTTATACAACTTATCGCGATGACGGATACAGCGTAGGATACCGGGAGTTATCCAAGGCTTAATTATTATTTTTCTATTAGGGATGATAACTGAGACCGTATGTTTAGAAACGATAGCAGAAACTATATTTACAAGCTTCTGAGCTGCCTGCTCCGGATCAGTGCAATTAACAATAACTGATAGGTCAGTTTTCTCCAGTTCACTTAGGCATGAAGATTCATCAAGCCGAGTGTAAGAGCGATTTGTGGTATGCGTAGTGATTTTAAGATCAACAGCAAGAATGACTGGCGTGTGATCAGTTATAAGCGAGTCCAATACTAAAGTCGTAGCCTGACTTTTTGTCTTTAAAATTACGTGATCAAGACAGCTATTTAACCGTGTTGGCAAGGTGTGAGCTGGTAGCATCCCATGAGAGGCAATAGTGTTTAGATAGTATTCCGCATTTGAGTCTGTATTTTCCGGTAGTATATTTATATTAATATCACCAATTACACTGATGTTTGGAAATTTCTTGATTGAATTTAAGGTTTCATCTAAGGATTTAATAAAATTATCAGGGTTTTTAAATGAAGGTGAACGATATACTGCTACCACTGCAAATATTTCTGAAAATGAAATTATTATGCTGTTTGCGTCAGTTATATCGGATCTAAGAATTGAGCATGGAAGATCATTTCTAACATAAATTACAATTCCTTCATTTTGAGTCTTGTAGTCCGACGTGAAAGAACAATAACCGTCCAAGATAGGAACTACAGGACACTTACTCAACCAACATTCAGTCAAAATTATAACGTCTAATTTTATATTCACTCTTTGTAATAGCAACTGTAGATTCATAAAATTACAGGTTATGCTTCTTATATTCATTTGAAATATAGTAAAGGGCTGGTTGTTATATAGCAAATTTCTAGAACACTGTTCCGGCGAGCAGACTAATGAATTAGACACAGTTATTTGTTCAAGTTCATCAAATATGTTTAAATTGTTATCCATTATCGAATAAAACATTTAGTATAGCAAAAAACAGTAAAATATATCTCATGATTATTCTAAAATAATTATAAAATAATATTACAATACAATAACTGCTCAAGTTTATCCATCCGATATATTCAAATACTTGACAAAGTTTTGTGTATTGACATACATGTGAGAAGAGATCAAAAGAGACTGGACATTTTTTTAAACTTTTCACTTCAAAATGCTTATAATCTAAATCAATAATAACATAATCATAGCATGTTATATTCAACCATATAAATGTTGCACATTGCTGCCAAAAAATTGTAAAGATGTAAAATAAAATGGTGTGATATATCTTAAATGTAAATAGACTATGTGACACAAATAACACTATCAAAATACTACAGAACAAAATAATAGAAAATAAAAAGAGAGAAAATAACATCATACAAAGTAGTCATTTCGTAGATTGTAGCTTAGATAGTTCATCTTCACTAGAAATGTGAATATGGGGGGCACCTTCCTTACTACGCAAATAGATCTTTCCCCTTTTCACCCAACAGTACTTGTATTCGTGAGTTTTGGCAAAGTCACGTGAAAGAAATAATAGTCTTTTCAAAGACGAGGTCAAATTTTCCGTTATAAACACTGGTTTTACCGGTCCAACCACCCCTAAGTGCTCAGTTGTAAGGTTCACTTTATTATCCTTATAGTGTTTCCTATGCATCTCAATTATTTTGTCCCTTAAAAGCACAGAAGTGAGATCGACGATAATTGATTTATTCTCAGGATTTTTTGTATGAATACGGAAAACATCTTTAACTTCATTCCGTGATATAGGCGTTTTTAAAACTTTTCCTATGTTTAGTACGGTGTCCAATAGTGCCTCCTTTGACTCCGGTTTTGCAATAGGGATGTTTCTTATTTCCAAACACGTAGCTCTTGACCCACGCTCAAACTTTTCTAGTCGGTCTTCAAGGGACCTTATATATTCCAAATTATTTTTGCGTTCGAATTCTAATTTATTTATTTGTTCCTTTAAAGTGTCATGACTCTGTGAGAGAAAATCAATCGACGAACGGATTTCAGAATTTTGAGTCTTTATATCGGTTATCGCGGTCCATATTTTCTCTAGCTTAAGATCCTGTTGAGTTTTGAAGTCTTGAAACATAGCTTTCATTTCTAGTATGAAAGACGACAAGTCCTCAGTTTCATCCGAGCGCTTCCTTTTAACGCGTTGAGTGAGATAATGCACCGACCTATCCCCATCACTAGATTTTTCGTCAGTTAAGTTCGGGTCAGAGTGGCAATGTTGCAGTGACGCCGCCAGTGATTGCGGTGGGGAACGGTTTAACGGCATGTTTACTAACAGCTACCAGTATCGCAGAAAAGTTAAAAGTCCGCTTACGGCCGATGCGACGGTGCGCGCGAGGGGTCTCGATAGAATGGTCAGTCGCGGCGCTTTCGAACAAACACCTCTTCCGTCCAGCGTAAGTAGACACGTGCGTTCAGTTGTAGTGCAACAGTTAGTTGTCCTTTTTTACTGCGTTATATCCAATGGACCATTAGACAAAGAAGTATCGGAGTGTAAAACGCACGCACACGCATATGATATCCTATTTTATAACTCGTTAAAGTAGACAACGCATTAGCGTGTACTCACTCTTGGTGCCTTTGTGAGCTGCGGTGGAAACTTATCACTGCGATTGCCGGTATCTGCTGCCAAACTATGCACTCCTAATTATTTGAATGATTTTAGTTGTATAACTTTATTGAATTAATTATAAATTAAAAAATATAATATTCTTAGCACACTTTGTCCTAAAATTATAACATTCCATGACAACTTGTTGATTTATATAAACTTTAACTTTAAACTACTGTATTCAGCTTAGATATTTAGTCAGTAAAACATAGTTAAAACGTTTCCTGTCAACTTGTTGGTTTATATAAACTTTAACTTTGAACTACTGTATTCAGCTTAGATATTTATAATTAGTGAAACATAGTTATTATATAAGTAATAAACATAGTTAGGCTTGGTGATTTATATAAGCAATAACTTAAAACTACTGAATTCATCTGCTCTGGTATCTAAAGTTGATAAAATATACTTATAATATTATCTTAATTCTTTTGGTTTTCTTTCATTGTTTCCCCGGTGCTCTGAGTGAGCTTAAAGGAGGGCAGTGGAGGAGAATTTAACATCACAATATCACTTCGCCTATGTTCTTATCATGCCCTCTGAAACCCCGCTCAACCTTTTCCGTCAGAACATATGGCGCAGTGAAATGTCAGCTTTATGCTACCGCACTACCACGGCCCTAATCGTCGTGTCGAATTCTCTCTTACCTTTCTTAGGCTGCAAGGTATCTTCGCATTGTAGGTAACCTACAATTATATAGGTATACCAGGTAGCATACGGGACTCGAACCCTCCGCTATCCGAGAGAGTGCACTGACCATTTTGCTGTCGCGGCCCTGATGGTCGTGTCGAATTTTCTCTAGCCTTTCTTAGGTTGCAAGACAGCGCCATATCTTGGCACTGTAGGTTACCCACAATTATATTTTCGTATTATGTCAAAATTTCTATGAAAAAGATGTTTGTTTTAACGTCTGGTAGGTTCGCTGCTGAATTTCCATAAAAACTTCGACGTTAGCGATACGATAATAATAATCTGTAACAAAGTTCGTCCTTAGTGTAATGATTTCAATCCTTAAACAAGATAAAAGAAAAACGTTCAAAGGAACCCTCACGACCTCACCTCAAACACACCGTGGAACGCTGAACTAACTCGTGACGACGTGACATGACGTCACACTTTTTCGTGCAGTCAGTGTTCATTGATTTAGAAAACGTTATCACGACAAAAAAATGTTTGGCTACTTTATTATAAGATCATAAAGACGACGCCGACCCCGCGGCTGTTATAATAAATAAATATTTCCAACAGTCATACCAATTAGCCTAGCCCCAATGTAAGCAACTGTAGGCTTGTGTTCTGGGATACTAGGGTAACGGATAGAATACATATACCGATACATATATCAGCATATTTATATAGAAATATGTATTCAACATCCACAACTGGAGTACTAGTGCTCGTATTCATCACACAAACATCTGCCCCCACCGGGATTCGAATCTGGGACCCCTCGAGTTGGCGACACCTTGAAACCCGGCGTACAAACCACTCGGCCACGGAGGTCGTCATGTTATTATTAGCTAGAACATTTGAAGAAAAACATTATACTCATTAGTTCCACCAATTATGAGTCCGTATTGGCGTTCCCCATAAGAGACTGCGAAGTTTTAATTAGCTTTATTCTCAACAATATTCTGTTAAAAGTTAACCTTCGGCTGATGCATATGAATGACGATATCTTCTCCTAAGCCACGCAACGGATTTTAATGGTGTTTTCACCATCATTAAGATCAGTTTTGGCAGAAGGTTTAATCCTACTAATATTATAAAAATGTGTTTGTCAGTTTGCATATTTGTGTTTATTTATTAATATGTTTGTTACACGATCACACTAAAACTATTAAACGAATACGACTAAAATTTTGTACCCGTATAGTTTATGACCTGGATTGCGACATAGGATACTGTTATCCCGGAAAAGTGGTCGCTTCCTGTGGGATTCTCAAAATACTAAAGCTAAACGCGTACGAAGTCATGGGCAGCCGTTAGTGTATAATATATGCTTGAGAACAAAAACTATAGTCTAGTCTAACATTTAATATAACACTGTTCCATGTAAACAAATGTATGGATAAAATCTTCACATCACACACACGCCTGATAATGATCGCAGTCCCTAAAGGCTTCAAAGGCGGTTGTGAGTGAAGCGTTGTCGGAAATTGCTAGGAAGTTGCTCGCGACCGGATCGGGGACGCGCGACATGTTTATCGGAATCCATCCGTGTTCGTTTACCGCGTGAAAATCGCTTAGTGGCAGGGATTTGCCGCTGGAATTAAACCTGTATGTATTTGGTCACCAGCCAGTTAATCTCCCACTGCCAGAGTACAAGACCTCGGTTATGAGCAAAGTGTCTGAAATGCAAGATCCCACTGCTGCATAATGACTAACACGTCATTTTGACTAAAACGCAGACTGCCTAGAATGAAAGATGCCACTACACCGATAATACCTAAAACGCTAATTGACTTAGAAGCAGGTAACCTACAATGTATCGTGACTATAATGTTTGCTGTCAATCGTCGATTTGAAATCTTTAAATATTAATAAAGTATTCATTCTTAAAACAAAATTAAAGCAAATCTTCAATATACTTACCCTTAAACACTGCTTAAATACATAAATATTTATTTAAACTAAAAACTCAGCATAAGGACTATGTTACGATTTTCAAGTGTTCGTATCGAATTTAAACAACCCTTTACAATAATAGTTTCCAAACAAACCTCCGCATTAGGCATTAAAAAGACGTACTGCATTATACGCATTACGATTTGTAGACGAAATGACATTTAGACAATTACAATGTCTAGGCATTCATGGGTAGGCAATCTGCTTCTTAATCTTTTGGCGTGTTAAGCATTTTAGCAGCAGTGGCATCTTGCATTTTAGGCACTGTGCTCATAACCGAAGCCTTTCCGTTTCTGGTTTTATAAATAGATGGAGAGAGTAGCTGATGTGACAGAAAAAAAGTGTGCTGCTCCATTCATCCCCACCTTGCCGGCCTTGACCTAATCCTCTACTCCGGGAAACCCTTCTTTATGATTATAATAATTAATCGTATTTACGGGATTGTTACCATGTACCTTGTTTTGGCGCTTGCAACTGTGCTGAAATATCGGAAACTCGCTAAATAGCAAAAAATAATATAATGTTAGTGACCATGAAAGTTTACTTTATGGTGTTATAATTCATAATATGAGGAGCTCGATGGCGCAAGTGGTTAGCGCTTTGGGCTTTGATCGTTGAAGTTAAGCAACTTTCGCAGTGGTTGGTCATTAGATGGGTGACCAAAAATCTTCCATCTGATGTTCCTCCGTGCTACGGAAGGCACGTTAAGCCGTTGGTCCCGATTGCAACTGCAGTCGTTAACATCCGCCAATCCGCATTGGGCCCGCGTGATGGGTCATTGCCCAATCTCCCTATTCCATCCATAGAGAAGGTCTGTGCCCCAGCAGTGGCGACATTAATAAGCTGATTATGATGATGTTATGAGTTCTCTAAATTGATATATAATACTTATATGATATTCTCCCTTCATAAATTATACTTATTTCTGATATATACCTATTTAATTATATTCTCCCTTCATAATGAATACTTAGCTATTTTCCTATCACTTGGGACAAATTTCAATAAAGTGCAATCATAGGTTAAATCTGGCATTCTCCTTCAGATCTATTTTTCTATTCAAAACACTTTTATTGTGTTAAGCATAAAATGAGTAAACCAGTTTTTCACTAGAATTTTGTAGGAGTTTACCGACCACGGCTCGTCCTTTTGTCAGTAAGTCCGTAGTAACAAACCGCATTTGTCACGTTGTGGAAACCTCGCCACAAAGCATGTCCTGGTATGCCGTCTCACAAGAAAGCACTATTTGCATATCTCCTGTAAAAGCGTGCATACACAATACTAATATGCATACGCGCTTACAAAAGTTTTATTACAACTGGTAAAGAGTGATTAAATTGCGAAGAACCTTCCGAGGTAGGGTAGCCATAAAATACTAATCCGAATAACAGGACTTGGTGCTGAATCAAGGACATTAGATTACCTCAAAAGTTAAACATTATCTTCAAAAATTTTCTTTGACATGTAGGCAAGCATTCCCAAATCACATAGACCGATAATTTGCGTTACAATTAATATTTAGAATCACATATCGTGCAGAATTTGTAACATCTTTAAGCATTAAGTTATACTACAATTTTCAAACAGCAATAGTTTCACTGATATCCAAAGAATGCTTCTCCCATACGAAATTAGCGTTCGAAATTAGTTCTGCCGCAATGAATTGTCTGGCTGCGTGTCTATAAATGCAAGATGATAGCTGGACTGGCGATAATCTAACACACATTAAAGAGGTTGTGGGAGACGATAAATGTATGTGCAGCTGAAGGTGCGTAATTAATTCAAAGTTCAAACGCAAATTTTAGCGCATTTTAGTACCAAATCTTTGTCACGCAGGTGTGGGAGAATCCTAACGAAGCCTAGATCCATGAACAATATAAGACAGACCGATCGCATTATTACCATTAACTGCGGGACTTCTTTTGTGGAAGAGACTTTACTGATATCGTAGCTAAGGGAAAAATATATCCCGCAACGCATCAAAGATATGAGAGATTGAGACAGATGACATTGCTTTATAAATTTGA